AAAAGTTGATGTTTTAGAAATTTTTGAAATGTTATACCGGAAACGTTAGCGAACTTTTTAGCGTATTATTAGTATATATGTGCATAATATATCATAACCAATACTTTGAATGGTTGGCTTTTTGCTTAGGAATTCAATAGAGTGGTTTTTCGGCGCATGACTTATTTGGAAACCTTGTCAATCCCTATTATTATGTATTACCGTACTTAATAATATATATAGTGCAATATTAAAAGAAAACAAATTTGGAATTAATTTTATTTCCTTGTGTGTTTGTTTTAGTGCAAAGCTAGACAATGGGCTGTCTGTGCTCTGCTCACAATGAAGTTAATGCTATTGTATTTATTATTTTTTTTGTGTAACAGTTTTTCTGATGTTTACCTATGATAATAAAAGGGCGTGTCTGTGGGTTTGTGTGTGTGTGACCGCCATAACTCCAAGAGGAAAGAACCAAGAAACCTGAAATTTTGCACCCATACTAAGTGGACCCTGAGGGTATGCACCTGGATATTATTACTTATCTACATGCGTGCGCGCATGTTTGTGCGCATCTTTTTATGCGAAAAACCACATAGAAAAGAAATGTGCACGCATGCGTATCTTTTTAATGAGGCAAGCTAGCGAAAAACCACAGAGTAAAGAAATGGTTCCTTATATAAGAACTTCTAATATATATAGAAAAGCCAGTGCTTTTTAGTAACAATGCGTTCCAACGGTGGATTTTATATCATGTTGCTTAGCAATAAAAGTATAACCTAATATTGTTGTTAAGAGGCTATGTGCTGAAAGTATAAAATGAAATGCATAAACCAAAAAAATTGAAAAAAATTATATACTTGTTTTTTATAATTTTGGGTCTTTGTTGATTAAAGATGTTTGTTTTTATTATTTAAGTTTAAAATGGGAGGTCAAGTCAGAGGGAAGTTACCTTTATAAATAGGCCACATTCTATAAAGAAGCAACAAAAGTAGATAGGTCATATTTTTATGCTAAAACTGGTTCAGAATACACACACCGACATAGTCATATAGAATAAATCAACCTAATAACCATAGAAAAGCCGGGTACTTTTGCTAGCATTAAATGAAATAGCATTGTACAAAAGCAGATATAAAATTTTATTTTTTCTAATTATGAGAGGTATGATAGTGATAAAATAAACAGCTGGAAAATACGTGGGAAAATATCATTTATTAGAGTAAAGACAGACTACAGTGTATGATTAACTAGAAAACAATACACATTGTAGTAAAGTAATAGTTTATATGTTAACATGTCATTACGTAAAACGTACAATGTTTCTGATTATCCGTTAGGTAATATTGTTGTACGCAAAACAATCACATTATATCAAACACTTGAAATTCATGTACATGTATAAAGAAACAAAACTTGTGCTTATAACATAAAGCAAAATGCTATGTTTGTGGCGGCCTCCTGCTGAAACCAAAACGTTAGGTGTCCAGTTCTTTTCAACACAGCTTCCTGATGGTGATCCTGGATAATAACTTCTACAGCTCAGCCCCGGACAACATGAGCGAGAGTTTGATCCTCCATCAACTTGACACTATTAGCAAAATAAAGAGAGGTAAAATGTACCTCTATAAAACAAAAAACAAATAATCTTGGAAACTTTATTTAAATTTTTATGGGTATTTTATTACAATTAAGAACATCAAGTATTTCTGGAGGTCTTACAACTCTCTATTAATGATTACAATACTTTTATAATATACAGGACCGAACATTATGGCTGCCTCCCAGTGGCACAGCGGTATGTCTGCGGACTTACAACGCTATAATCCGTGTTTCGATACCCGTGGTGGACAAAGCACAGGTAGCCCATTGTGTAGCTTTGTGCTTAACTTCAAACAAACAAATAAGCTTTATGGCTGATTAGTTTATAAAGTTATTTTTACATATATATATATTCTCAGAGTTTATGTTGACGGTAAACATATACTAGTAATTCTTCAATTATACACATCTTTAGAGAACAAAACTATTCATCAAAGTTGGTAAGAATGTCTAACTCACCTGTAAGTGCATTCGTAAACAGCTGGAATCAGATGATCCCTGTAGCTCTGCACCCACCATAAAAATACAACAAATCACAACAAATTTGGTTATCCAGATCATGATGTCACTTGCACTTTCTCGCCTTAAAAAAAAAAAAAGACATAGGTATACGAATTCCTAGAAAATTTGTTCACATGTGTTATGAGTGTGTATATTAAATATTGTTTACATGAGACTGAAAAATTATCGTTGAAGTCATTTGATTTTTTACTCCCATATTTGTTTCAAAGGAACGTCTCAGAGTTTTTCTCGTCCAAACATAAAATTGCCCTTCCACTTCACCTGGCCCGGCATGGCCAGGTGGTTAG